ACTCTCTTGAATGTTTGCAGCGGAGGGGAACCTCTCGCCCATCTGTCATTGTCATCTCTTACGCTGGCAACGATATTTTTGGGAACTACGGCTTCCTCCACTGTGATTGGCTTGACAAGGAGATGGCATGCTACTCCCAGAAGCGCCGTGACGCAGCAAACGATCTCATGGAGGAAAGGGTCAACACCCATTTCTCCGCTCTGAACGACCTCGTGAAGCTGACGACACGTGCCGACGTTGGGAACATCGTCCTTATCATGCCATGGTACGGCAGGGGGTATGGGTTGCACCCCGATTATGACCGTCAAATGATTCGCGAAGCCGAGGCTTTGAGGAAACGTGGACTCTGCGTCCTCGATGCCACGTCGCTTATCAAGTGTACTACACGATACGACGGCCAGCACATGGAGAATTCGGAGCATAACCGCCTCCAGTGCATTCGCTTCTATTCCGAAGCAGGCGCGCTTGGCTATCACCTTTTTCGGCTTCGGTCTTGCAAGGCCTTGGTCGAGATGGCTGAGATGAAGCGAGGAATCGCTGGCCAACCCTCAACCTGAAAACAACCCTGAATGGGAAGAGATGGAAGAGGTGTTGGTCTCCATGGACGTGGACGGTTGGGAAATCTATGTGAAGGAGACCCGACCCAAAGGGCAACGGCTTCCCAACAAAGTTGACCCCGCACGTGCACAAGTCGCACAGGCTCCTACGGTGCAGGATGATGCCACTGTGGCCTCATCGAACTGGCAGCTTTTGGAGTCCGTGGATGCCGCACTGCCGGGGGAACCCGAGCACTTTGAACCGCATGAGATCAAAGAGCCGGAGATGGATGGTGAGCTCATCGACGCCATCCTCAAGCCCTTCTTGGATCGGTTGCCGGGTGTTTCCGACGAGCGTGACATTGATGAGCCGGACGCTGACGAGGAGATTGTCTTCAGAGAACCCATTGTCGGCGGCTCAGCATCAATGTTTAGCCAGCGGAAGCTGCGCTCCCATCTGATGAACAAGATCCATGCTGTGGACTTCAAGTTGGATGGTTCTGGCGTAGTGAACATCTTGGACACCGACGTCACACGTGATCCTGCCAAGCTCGAACTTCGGCAGGAATCCATGCAGCAGACTGAGAGTGGTGCAGTCATCATTCGTCGCTTTGATTTGACGGATGAGGAGAAGCATCGTCAGATGGAACGGGAAATCTTCGAGGAGCCCAAGACCGCCGAGGAGAAACTTCGCGCGGGTGACCCTGCTGCCTCTGTCCAGATCATGTCGAAGGCCAAGTCGAAGGCGGCTTCCTCATCCGAAGCGGCATCATCTTCGAGCGGCATCGCACAGGTGATCGGGGACACTGTCAGCCAATTCATCAAACCCAAGATGAGGGATCAGGCTACCATGATTCAGCCCAAGCCTGCTCCGCGGCTCCCAAAGGTTTCAACGGCGACGGGAACGTCTCCCATGGCGTCCATGGCGTCCCCAAAGCCCAGTCCGCCACCGACTCCGAAGAGTGCAATTGGATCCCCCAAGCCGGAGCCACCTGCACTCCCAGCGGAAGCTGCGGACCATCCTATGTCCAAAGCTTTGCCTTTCAAGGCACCGCCTGCAACGTTGACAACAACCTCACCGAGGGCACCTCCGCAGAAGTCATCGGCACCTACTGCTACGTCTTCGTCGGAGCCTGCCCCAAAGATGGCCAAGAAGGAGCCGCCTCTGGCAAGTGCTCCTCCCCCGGGAACGGGTGGCCGGGAACGGGCGAGCGCAGGGAGTTCACCATCCGGTGTACTGAACTGCCTGCCCTGAGGGATCTTGGAAGACTCGGTCCTGACGACTTCAAGTTTTCCAAGCGGGTCACTGGGCTGCTGCGCGGCTATGACCACAAGTTCCTCGAGGCGCACCATCGCCATATCCCTCCTGAATTTGATGAGGAGTTGTACTTGAACTTTGAGTCCATGTACACGTACCTCAGGAAGCGGCATCGCGCTCAGCTTTCGCGACAGGACCTCTACCTGATCTTTCGAACCCAGGACAGGTTCATGTGTCGCATTCAGGCGGGAATTGTCGGGGAACTGACAACCATGGACATGCCGTACGCATGTGAAGGCCTGCCAAGGTCATGACCAGTCCCTCATCGACAAGGTGGGAACGGCTCCATTGGTCAAGCAAATCATCTCGCTTGACTACCAGTTCACGGTCGAGGACTTGAAGAAGGGATTCTACCCCAGGGTCCCCATTTATCCTCACCTGGCGGAAGCCGAGGTCTCAGAAGAGTTCAAGGTTATTTACCATTACACTTCATGGGACTCCCTCCAGCAGATCATTTGCACGGGGATTTTTCCAGGGGCCACTTCATGCAAGGGTCATGTATATATGACCCGCCATGCGCCTTGGGAAATCGAAGGCAAGGATCCTGGTGTCAGGACGAACCGACCGCTGTGCATCGCGATCGATACCGATTGTGCTCTGCACTATGGTCTTCGCCTGGTGGAAACCTTGGCCGGTGCACTCATCACTGAGGACTGGGTGCCCAATCATTGCCTCATCTACGCATTCGATTGCGAGAAGTCGCAATACCTTTGGGCGAACCATGGCTACAACGGGGTGAAGAAGTACCTTCGGCAGAAGGCCTCCGAGAACGCTCTCACTTGGCAAGAGAACGAGGCTCGGAAGGGCACTCCCAACTATGACGAACTTGAAAGGTACGAGATTTCGGACCTGGAGGTGTTGAAGAACATGTTCGTGAATGAGTACGATCAGTGGAAGGATGTCATCACTCTGCGACGTCCGCTCATTTACAAGGAAGTTCCGACACCATATCCTGTTGTCGATGAGTTGCTGCCGAAGATCAAGCAAAGGCCGCTCAACTTCACCAATCTCCTCTGTGTGGCACGCAAGCCGACGGCAACTGCAGCTGGCTTCGACATCGCCCCTGACAACGCGCGGGAACGCCGTTCTGATCGCTTCGATCAGGAGGCCTTTGACCCATCCGCGGAGGGGAACCTCACGCGCTGGCGGTATGTTTCAATGCTGGCAATGCCGGAATTGACATGCCCCCGGTGCAGGAAGATCTTTCCTGAGGGGATGTTGGTGTGCCTCGCATGCGGCTTGTCGCTGGCGACAATGTCCGACATGCGTCGTGCGTGTCAGGTGTTCCGCCTGGAAGAGTTGGCCGAGAAGCTGGGCTTCGAGCTGACGTTGGACCTTCTGGGCGATGACGATGTAGCAGGCACCACCCAAGGTGCCAAGCAGATCAGATCTGCTGCTGCAGTCCTCAAAAATCACGCCCGCTCATACATGAAGCAGGCGAGAAAAGCAGGGCTGACTTTGCTACAGCGTCTGGGAACGGACGCCCACTACGCCTTCAATTGTGCGGTCCAAGACCTTACACCTCGGTGTATGCATTGGATTACCGTTTTGGGCAACGTGGTGCTTCCCTCCATCAAACGCACCCGCGAGGAGATCCGAACTGGAAAGATTCGGCAGTACAAAGCGCGTATGTGCATGGTCGCATACGAAGAGGAACAGATGAAGACGATCATCGTGGATGATCATGTACTCATCTGGTACAAGAACCGCTTTTACAGAGCCAACCAGTTCGCGGCCGCCTATGCCTTGATCCCTGTGGCCGATCGTTTTGAGGTCTTGAGCGTCGCCAACACGACGTTCCAATCCCTTGCGCTGTCCAAGCAGGATGTGTATGCCGACATTCTCAGCTATGTCGACAACATCTTGCGCCCCCTCACGGAGGCAAAGGACACGGAAGGCGGAAGCCGACCCCTACCTGCAACGAGGCAGCAGAACCCAGATGTCACCAGGTCCTCGCGTCCTGGATATGGTTCTCATCAGGGGCCCACTCACGGCTACAGTCAGCAGGAATGGAATGACTACTACAATCAGTGGACTGACCAGGAGTGGGAAGATTGGCGCCGTCGAAATCAAGGCCACCAATACAGAGATCGACGTTGGTCGGGCTATCGCTGAGGCACCGCGGAGGGGAACCTCTCGCCTGGTGGATTCATCTTCATCTGAGGCGGGGTAGTTTCTTTCAATGAGAGGTGTCGCACAGCGGAAGCTGTTGCCTTTTCGGATCTAATTCGGTCAGGCGACTAGCTTCATTTTGCACAGGTGGGTGAGCGATTCCACCATCATTTCCAACTCAAGTGTGCTAAGTCGGAATTTTTGCCAACTTATTCAAGTTCACAAAAGTTTCATTAACGCTTTGAATGCATATAATTTGAAGCAGGCATTTGGCACTCATCTTATTCTTGCCATGATTCCTTCTTGCTAAGCACACGGCTGGTAGTTGCATGTACCGCAGAGCGGAAGCTCTTGCCTTGCGAAGATAAGGCAACTTTGAAGCATTTCTTAAAGGCTTCCCTGCGGGTTCACGCAACATTGAATTCAGCTTTTGCCATAATTCAGATCGCTTTGCTTTGGCAAGCTCCTGGGCGACCACAAGAACTTTTGTTGCCGCGTGGAAACGCTGGCCTAGTATTGGGCCAAGACCTTTTCTTTCCACCTTGCATGTTCGACCACAAGCCCAGTCGAGCCTAAAATAAAGCTGAATGCATCCGTCCGAATTGACCTTGACAGCATCCGTTAATCAGCGAACTTGGTGTCAGATTCCATGGATTGTCTTGTCATGCGTTGTTGCCTATTCGTGCCACGCTTAGGTGATGACCTGAAGTACTACGGAAAGGAAGGCCATGTTTCCGGGTTTGGTTGAGGTTGTTATTTATTTAAATGGCATCCCTTACCTAGTTGTGCATGACCGTAATTTGCAGCTTCATCTCCCGATGCGGTAATTACACTGCACGGGGGGTGTTGTTGCACAGTAGTACTCCATGTATAGGTCATTTCACCCTTAACACTACGTGGCAATGGCTCAAGAAATAAGCAGCGTGTATTTGTGGTGTATCCCGGTTTCTAGCTGTTAACTACATATATTTACATAATATCTTTGTCATTTAATGAACCCCTCCATAAAGCCCACGATCTCCGGCACTTCGATGCAGGTTATCCACCTCCGGGATGGCCGCCCCCACATGGCTACTGGCCGCCTCCGCCCCTGGGAGTTTCAAGGGCGGGAATGGATGAACCAAGTGAGGTTGGAATTGGATGGTTTATCCCCATATATATATATGTTATACATATATATGGTTTGTGGTTTGGAACTGAACATGAATTTTTATGTTTTCCATATATTGGGAATTTCATAATCCCAACTGACTAATATTTTTCAGCGGGGTTGAAACCACCAACCAGATGACTATTATAGATGTTAATCAACTAATGGTTTAAACCAATAAGATGTTAATCTATAGGTAAGCTAGCTATAGTTTGTATGAGGTTGACTGTTTTGGGAGAGAATCTGTAGATAAACTAGCATGGTTGAATATCGATAGATAACCTATAGATAACTATTATGGAGTTGATCCATAGATACCCTTTAAACTATCCAATTCAATCTATAGTTATAGAGGGCAACTATCTTGGGAGACAATCTATAGATAACTAGATGAACTATTCAGTATAATAGTAGGTGCGAAAAAAATGGATTTGGCCCTTTTCTTCTCAGACTCCTCTACCTATATACTGTAGTTCCATCTAATTCCCGTCGAAAGAAAAGCTTTTGACTTTGGAAGTACGGGGCATCTAAAAAACGCCCCAGGAAAAAAGGTAAACACTCCCACCTAGATTTACCCTAAACGATTGAATCAAACTGTGAAACAACACATGAAATGGCAATGGAGAGAGAGAGAGAGAACATGTGGTATAGGTAAATCAGCTCATTCATACCGGTGGCCCCCACCATAGTGAGAATTGCAAATACAGAGGTGCCCACATATCAATCAACTGGGTATCTCCAAACATAACAGCATACGCTGTCTCAAAATTTGGGCTTCATCCCCCTACGTTCCCGTTATATCATCATATGCCACCAACAGGTTCTATTTTATTAACAAGTATTTGCAAATGTTGCACCCACTTGGGATTGTTTAAGTGAAAATGTTTTGTCACACCAAGTCAATATTCAAATTTTGATAATTTTGTGGACTTTCACAAGTTCACAAGATATTCTAAATTTGGGGACATATGGGGAAACCCAAATTGCACCAACCATAAGATAACAGTTGCTAAGACCCCACCAAAATGATGAACCCAATTCTGCCCTCCTGTAATCCAATTTTTTTAAAGAAATTCCAATGGGAAAATCCCCGAACTACCCTCGGGTAAACTAACAGTCTGCTATTGAAAATGGCCATAGAAATAGTTGATTTTCCCATTAAACATAGTGATTTTCCATAGTTTTTTGTATGTTTACCAGAGGGTAAATGGAGGTCTTGTTGAGAAAATCTCTGGATTTTCCGCAGCCAGGCCACACCTGGCGGGCTACGGCCGCGACGCATCCCGAAGTCGATCACCGCGGCGGGAGGGCAAGTGCGCCTGGGCCAGTTGAGTTTGGGGACAGTCCATTTCTATGTTTGATTACCGGAGGGTAAATGGGAATTTTATGTTTTTTTCTTTTTTATGGGGATACAATGAATTTTATGGGGATATGATAGGGTGTATCGGAAAAATGTTATTTTACCAACAACAGCAACAACAATAGGGTATGTATAAAACCAACCAGGGCAGGGATAACACGTGGGATTCAGGCAATAAATATGGTGGATATATTATGGTGTTTACTGTATAATCTTAGATAGATAGACAGATAGATAGATACTGTACATTTGGTGTGCACACACATATATATATATGGTACTCCGACCCGGGGTTAAAGACTCATATGCCGTCTTCTGATTAGCATTTAGGTTTTTCAGGTAGATGCCCCCCGACGCACCACTCTGTGAACTCTGCGGCCATAAGTGGGTGGTGATCGGCGGGGGCCTGTGCCAGATCTGTCGCACGGTGGACCGACTGGCTGCGATTGTGAGGTCGCCTGAGGTCCCGGTGTCAGCTGAGTGCATTGTCTTGCAGCGGCTGCGCGCGTGCATTGGTGAGCTGCAAGACCTAGGGGAGCTAACTCGAGGAGTGGCTCCTAACCCGGTGCAGCGGCCACTTGCAGAGGCGGGAGGACCTCCTCCTAACACGCCGGGGCCTGCTCCTGGCAGCGTTGGGGCCACTTCGAAGGCGCCTCCAGCTACACCGCCCACAGTTTCAACGCCACCATTGTCTTCAGAGCCTGTGCCAGAGGCTCCTGAGGCGCCCGCAAGCCGTCATCGTCTGCCAGCTGAGGTGAAGGGAGACGCTACAGAGAGCTCTCCTGCCCGCGGGACTGCTGCGTCGTCGTCTCGGCCAGACAACCCGGAAAGGAAGAGGAGATCAGCAAAGAGCCCTAGATCGCCAAGAAGGTCCAGAAAGAGATCCAGAAGATCAAGGAGTGGACGGAGCCGCGATAGAGCCAGGCGGCCAAGACTGGCAAGCCCTGTAAGGCCTGAAGAGGTCAAAGCTGAGGAGACAGACTCTGAGGAGCGAGCTCGGAGACGGGAGCGGAAGTCGCGCCCTTTGAGGCCTAGGTCGCCTTCTCGGCCACCTCCACTCCATCGAGACCCTGCTCCTAGCCGTAGGCCAGAGGGGAGGCGTTGGGTTGGACCCATCCCTGCGCGGCGCCGAGAACCTCCTCCGGGCCACGGTCGGCACTTTGGCAAGAACAAGGGCCAGACTGAGAGGAGAAAGCGAGCCGACTACCAGGGAAGGAGGCCTCGGTATTGGGAGAGGCGCTGATGCCTCCTAAGTTGAGGAGACCTGGCGCTGCTCCTGGTGCAGTGGTTCGAGGTCGAGGCTTGCGAAGACCAGCAAAGGCAGCAGAGGAGGCTGTTGAAGAAGGAGAAGGTACATTGGTGGCTAGTACCTTGACATTAGACCAATGTCGTGGCTTGAAAGACATTGTGACGCTCACTGGAACTTACTGGGAGGCAACAGTCCAGGCCGCGTTGAAAGTGAGGGAGGTCTACATCAAGGACGGGGAGCTCTGGCTACGCGCCGAAGTGTTGGGCACGCGGAACGAGACGTTGCTGCGTTGGGCTTCGGAAAAGAGCCAGCGGGTGATAGAGGTTCACCTGTGTCCGGACGGCTGCACAGGCGGGCCTCATGCCGAGGGCGTGCTCCACATGAGGAGTTTCCAGAAGTTGGGCGCCGATCGAGAACCTTGGATGTCCAACATGCTGCCCGAAGAGAAACGTCGAGGGGGAGAAGACGAGCTAGCAGAGCTCCGCGAGGATCAGAGGCGGTTGAGGAGCCCTCCACAGCGGAGGAGGGGAGATGGACGGGAGGACAGGCCTCCTTCGATCTCCTCGGGCGAGAAGGACAAGGCCCCCAAAAAGAAGAGCAAAGACAGAAAGAAGAAGCGCAAAGAGATGAGGGTGGAGAGCCAGAAAGAGATCAAGGTCATTTTTGGCCACACCGGGCTGGATCCAGATCCAGCAATCCGCCGGCGTTTTCGGCGCAGGGCTGCCCGAGTGGTGAAGCGCAAGGGCAAGGAGACGTCGGACAGCTCCAGCAGTTCGTCAGCAAGTTCCCCCAGCGAGACGCGGGGCGATCCCAGCCTCTTTGGGGCATCCAGCCGGGTGCAACTGGTGGCCAAGAAGTTGCCGGGGTCATTGGGTGCCGCCGCAGTCGAGGAGATTGCGGACAACCTAGTGACGGCCGACGGCGGACTTTGGGAAACGCATTCGGGGTGTCTTCCACCTCTGTTCATGAAGTACTACAAGCACCACCTTGCAGCTCGAATGTCTCCGGCTATGAGCCGCGAGGCGCACACGTTGTGCCAAGCCCTCGACCTCCTCATGAGAGGAAAGGTGGCGGAGGGCGTGGATCTGTGCGCCCAACGTGTCAAATCGTTGGAAATGATGGCCAATGGGTGCCATTATACAGTTTCACAACAACAAGAGCTGCTGCCGAGAGAAGGGATCACCATTTCGACGACTGCGGAATTTCAGGAGGCTGCACGTCGAGCGCGGGAGGATGGGCGAGCCCGGGCAGAGGCCGCCAGACCTTTCGGGAGTCGGCCAGCTGGGACTCCTCGGACCGACGAGTGGGCAAAAGGCAGCGGAAAGAAGGGCGACAAGAAGGGCAAGCAGGGCAAAGCCGATCAGAAGAAAGGCGATGGCGACAAGGCAGATGGGCGAAAAGGGAAGGGGAGTTGAGGCAGACTCCTACGAAGAAGGCGGCAAGAGGCGAGATTGAGTTTGTGGCGGTGACACGGGAGGGGAGCTCACAGCTGGCACCTGTGGCTCCTGTTGAGGATGGGGTGGTAAATGGGGGTGAGCGGCCACTTGACGAATTGCAGCGCTGCTCCCCCTGGACGCCACCTGAGCCTGAAAGGCTAGAGGGAGCAAGCAGTGTGGCACGGGCTGGTAAACGGCTAGTGTCGGATGTTGCTCCTACAAATTCAGTGCATGAGCTTGGCCGGGCTGGTGGCATTACAGCGACAGAGGCCAGCCGGGCGGAGCCCGTAGTGCATGGCGCTTTGTCCACTGCGAAGTCATTGGACGTGAAGCTAGCAGAACTCAACTCTGCATGTCTCACCTGCGCGGGCTGGCGGTTTGAGGCGATGGGTGGACTCCTATATGAATCTCTCCAGAAACTTGTTTGGAACCGGCATAGCAAGACCATGACCACGGCGAAGGATACAATTTTTCCCTTGCCACTGGGAGATTATCCTGGAGTCCTCCCTGAGCATACAGCTTGGTTGCATGCAATTCTCCTTGGCTTGAACTCCCTTTACGGGGATGCACGGACGTCAACGCTTCGGCCGACTGAAGTCCAAAAAAGCCTAGTTGGGTCCATTGTGAGCTTTCTTGGGCGGATGTGCGATTTCAGGGTCACGATCCCCACAACTGGTTTTGGTGAACTGTTTGATGTAAAGGGTGTGGACTATAGAGGTGAAGAAGTTAAACTTGCGAGGTCTTTTAACTGGAGGTGTATCGCTGGTGCTCTACCTCAAGAAGTAGGAACTTTGGAAATGGCTGACTTCTGTTCTGGGGGATGTCTTCATTATTTGAGTCACTTTGAGGAGTTCCTTCTTCCGGTTGAATCACAAGTTTTAGGGCGCACCCCGAGGGTGATGGTCGATGAGGGAGACTGGGAAGATGTTGTGAAAGGGCTTATTCAAATGGGGATCTGTGAAGTGTGTCCTCGACGACTGCTTTTTCATGTAGATGACCGTCCCTTGCTGAATGGCCTGTTTGCAGTGTCAAAGAATGAATATGATGCTTCTGGTTTGGAACTACATCGATTAATCATGAATATGGTCCCCCTCAACCGCATCTGTCGGTCACTCAAGGGAGACGTGGGGACTCTCCCCACAGTGGCTGGCTTGAGCGCCTTTTACCTGGAAGACCACGAGATTGCTGTTATGTCTAGCGAGGACGTCAAATGTTTTTACTATTTATTTCAGATCCCTTTCAGCTGGAGAAAATTCATGGGTTTTGCTCGGGAGGTACCCCTCTCCTACGTTCCTGTACAATGGAAAAATGAGGTTTGCCATCTGGTTGCCAGAGTTCTCCCTATGGGGTTTCTCAACTCGGTTGGATTGGCTCAACACATACACCGCAACGTTGTCAGGTGGAGCCTGGCGAATGCTCAGCTGGGGGCTGGCGAACGAGAGCTGCGTCGCGACAGGCCGGCACCGGTGGGGGATACTCTGTTTAGGGTTTATCTTGACAACTGGGATGAGCTGAAGAAAGTGGATAAAGCTCTGTGCGCTGAAGTTGAGGGCAAACCTTCAGCTCATCAACTGGCGTTGCGCCAGCAGTATATGGATGTTCAACTGCCTCGTCACCCAAAGAAGTCAGTTGAAGCCGCTGACACAGCTGAAATTCAAGGGGCTCTCCTGGATGGGAGAGCGGGTGTGGCGTATGCCAAACCTGAAAAGATCATGAAGTACATGGGCCTTGGTTGGGAATTGGTGCAACGGGGGCACGCGTCTATGAAAGAGCTCCAAGTGGTTTCGGGGGGCTTTGTTTACATTTGTATGTTTAGACGTGCCCTTCTGAGTTCCCTGAATGAGGTTTGGAGCCAAATTGAATCCTTAAAGACTTTCCCTCCTGTGGTCCAGTTGCCTTTACCGAGGGAGGTTAAGTTAGAGCTAGTGAGGTTTATGGCCCTTATCCCCCTGGCTCAGATGGATTTCAGACTGACAATGTGCCGGGAGGTTACGGCCTCTGATGCCTCCTCTTCGGGGGGTGGTATCTGTTGCTCCCGTGGGCTGACTAGCTATGGCTATGCAGCGCAGCAAGCCCTGGTTCGAGGGGAGTGGGCGGAGCCTTTGGAGAGTGTGGAAACCCTGACTGTGGGGTTGTTTGATGGGATTGGAGCATTGCGAGTTGCAGTAGACCTCCAAGTTCAGGTAGCAGGACATATCTCTGTGGAGTGCAACCCTTATGCCAACCGGGTGCTGGAAAGCGCCTTTCCCGGGAGCCGGGTCATTGAGAAAGTGGAGGATGTCACGGCCGATGAGGTGCTTGAGTGGGCATGTGAATACTCCTCGGTGGGAGTTGTGTTGGTGGGAGCTGGGCCTCCCTGCCAGGGAGTGAGCGGTTTGAATGCTGACCGCAAGGGCTCCCAACGCGATGCACGGAGTGCACTCTATAAGGAGGTGCCGCGCATTGTGGACTTGGTCACCAAAGCGATGCCATGGGCCCAAGTTCACTCCTTCATTGAGAGCGTGGCCTCGATGGATGTGCAGGATCGCAAGGCTATGTCCAGCGACTTTGGGCTCACACCCAATAGAGTTGATGCAGCGGGGATCTCCTTGGCAAGGCGGCCTAGGCTCTATTGGTTAACGTGGGAGATCTCTCCTGAAGATGGCTTAGAACTGTCTGAGGCTGAGGGCGCTGGGTGGGAGGCCATTCGGTCTATCCACCTGACCGCGGAAGTTAACCACAAAGAGTTCTTGGAGCCTGGGTGGCATCTTCCGCCGGGAAACCGGCTTGCCACCTTCACTACTTCCAGACCCTCTGATAAGCCAGGTAGGCGCCCAGCGGGAGTGCACTCCTGCGATGATGAGACACTTCAACGTTGGCGAGATGACCAACATCGCTACCCGCCCTATCAGTACAAAGAGGAGTTTTGTCTCCATCACCCTTCAGGAGCCGTGCGTGTGGCGAGTATTGTTGAACGAGAAGTGATTTTGGGATTTCCTGCGGGGTATACGGAACAATGTGTCCGCAAGGGAGAGCGCACCGCAGAATGGGTGTCAGATGTAAGGAAAACTCTCCTGGGCAACTCCTGGTCAGTGGGAGTAGTGGTCTGTTTGCTGAAGCAGCTGTTTGAAAGGTTGGGGTTGGTAAAAGCTTCAACTATTCAACAGTTGATGGACCGCTTACAACCCGGTGGAGGCACCCACCTTCAAACTGTGCTTTTGCGACCGCCACTACGCAGGGAGTCATCACTCCTGTTACCTGAAGATGGGCTGTCCCGGAGATTGAGTGGGCTGGTTTCCGTGAAGGGTGAGGACTTACTACTTCAATCAACCTCCGAACAACTGGTCAAGCATCAACGACTCCGAGCGAGTGTGCCAAGCAAGCTCTGGAAATGGCGTGAGGTCAGCGGGTGGCAGTGGAAGTCACCTGGTGAACACATAAATGTGTTAGAGATGCGGGCTGTGATGACCACAGTGAAGTTCTGGATTGCAAAACAGAAGCTGCGGAATTGTAAGATCATCCACTTAACTGACTCACTGGTAGTGTTGCATGCTCTTAGCCGAGGGCGCAGTTCAAGCAAAAAATTGAGACGTATCATCATGAGGATTCAAGCGTACCTTCTGGTTGCGAACATCCAGCCTGTATGGGCCTATGTCCATACATCTCAGAATCCAGCCGACCGCCCTTCGAGGCGGGTGATCTGTCGAAAATGGCAAAAAGTAAGAAGCATCTAGAGGGGCGCAGCCAGCAGGTACGCAAAAGAATCCGAAAAGACTTAGGTACTCTCAAAAGTCTCACAATTCAGCCCAAAACCCGCATCCGCTATGACAAAGCTAAGAAACGTTTCTATGACTTCCTTGACCTCAATGCTCTGGAACTGCCCCGTCAACGCTCTCACCTGGATGGCCTTCTTTGTGATTATCTGGAATATCTATGGGCTTCTGGCGAGGGCCGGGGGCTAGCCTCGGATACGTTGGCTGCCTTACAGGATGCAAGTCCTAAACTCCGGGGGACTATTCCGGGGGCCTGGCGTCTATTGAAAACCTGGCATGTTCATGAAATACCCTGTCGTGCTCCTCCCTTTCCTGAAAAAGTGGTACTGAGCCTTGTTGGCTACTTTGTATTCCATAAGGAACATGCTATGGCTCTTTCGTTGCTGCTAGGCTTCTACTCCATGTTGCGCACCGGGGAGCTTTTAGGGATCCGGAACCGTGATGTAACCATTGATGAGCGCCATCGCTCAGCAATCATCTCCTTAGGTCTGACCAAGGGAGGTAAGCGAGCAGGGGCCGCTGAAAGCGTTACGGTTTCAGTCTCTGAGGTGATTAGACGTTTGGCTCAGTGGAAACGAGCCACCCCCCCAGGGTCGTCCTTAACACCCCCTGCTCACACCTGGCGCAAGAAGTTTGCCAAAGCTCTTACTGCTCTTTCTCTGGACCCGTGGGAGTTTCGACCGTACTCCCTTCGAAGGGGTGGGGCAACTTTTTGGTTTGGTCAACATGGATCGTTGGATCGTATCCTGCTACAGGGCAGGTGGATGGCTGCAAAGACGGCACGTACGTATCTCAATGAAGGGTTAGCAGTTTTAGCTGAGATGAGCATACCGCCAAAGAATTTAAAACCGTTTCACCTTGTATATGTGAATGCACAGAAGTCTTCCTTACCGCCCTGGAAGTGAAATGCTTGAGCTTTCTCGGTGAGAAGGTGTGGGGGACGTGGAGGAGTGTCCCCTTTTGTTGTCGTGTTTGGTTTTGGTTGGTGGATGTCAAGTGATGGGCAAAAGATCTTTTGAAGAAATTACACAGAGAAGTTATATACCTGGGCCTACTGGACTCGGCTTGGCGAGGAAGGTAGGGGGTATTGGGAACTGATGCTCTCCCCGGGATGGCGGGGAGAGATTTTTCAGTAGAGGCCCTTGTGATTCTCTGTGGTGGTAATGTTTTTTCTCGTTTATGCTGTTTTTTCCTGACAATCTGGGTCTTGCTATGCTCAGAAAAAAGGCCATGTGCAGTCTTTGGTACTCCGACCCGGGGTTAAAGACTCATATGCCGTCTTCTGATTAGCATTTAGGTTTTTCAGGCCCGCCCCTCCCTCCCCTGAAATGGGGGGGTGGAGGAGTGTCCCCTTTTGTTGTCGTGTTTGGTTTTGGTTGGTGGATGTCAAGTGATGGGCAAAAGATCTTTTGAAGAAATTACACAGAGAAGTTATATACCTGGGCCTACTGGACTCGGCTTGGCGAGGAAGGTAGGGGGTATTGGGAACTGATGCTCTCCCCGGGATGGCGGGGAGAGATTTTTCAGTAGAGGCCCTTGTGATTCTCTGTGGTGGTAATGTTTTTTCTCGTTTATGCTGTTTTTTCCTGACAATCTGGGTCTTGCTATGCTCAGAAAAAAGGCCATGTGCAGTCTTTATATATATATGTATATACATAACATAATTAACATATAATTATATATTTTTTGAATATATACATGCATATATACAGTATCTGATCATGATTTGGGTGTGTCTCAAAATGGGGCGTATCTCCAAGTTACAACAGTTTCAACAGGGAAAGTTGGGGCTAACCAGTGGATTTTGGTACCGTTTTTTCAGACCAACCCCGCATTGAGACAACCCAAACGAAGAATTGGTCTGTAAACTCAGCTTTCCGTTGCACATATACATGAATATACATGAATCGTCCAAAGCCTGTTGTTTTCCGACAAGATCATATTTTTGAAAGAAATGCAGATGAGTTTGCAGCAAAACAAACATGAGGATGTATTTATGACGAAGAACGTGGATCGAATAATGATCCATTGGAGAAGCAAACGGCCAACATTAACCGCTGGCCGCTTGAGATTCCAAGATTCCAACTGTGACTTACCGGGAGGCGGAGGGATGCTGAGGGGCGACTCATCGTGTAAAATTGGATGGTTCAACAAGAAAACATGAGCCATTTGTAGACCCCTTGGTGCACCAGTTTGGGTCGCCATAGGTTTCGGAAAGATTTGGAAAGAATGAGCAGACCCAACACTGTTCATGCCAGGTACACGTGTCGATTCTTTATTGGCATCGACAACGACGTGCGCCCGTAGTTCCAGGGGAGTCTGTTGAGTATGAAACTGTGTTCTGTCGGGGTTCCAAACCGCGACTTTCCCCATCGCAAACATAAGGCCGTAAGGGTTCTGATGAGGTGTTACTAGGGCTTTGATGGCATTCATGGTGGTAAAATGTGGTAAATAGATAACTGTAAACAACTCTAGCAAAGGTCTCCAACAGTTTTTTCATGTTTTTCCACAAGCAGTCCCATGAAGAGTTTTCCACCCGTCACTCCATCCATGTTCATCCCATCCCCCCGCGGTGCCAGAACAAGTTCAAAGTGGCTCGGCGGATCATCGGCGGGAACGGCTCCAACATGAAGGTGGAAAACCAGGGCAATTGGAGTGGTTGAAGGCAACAAAATTCGGGAGTTTCCCCAGATTCAAAATGGGAAAAGTCCATGAAAACCCATGGTTTCCGACAGATGTTCCATATTAAGCCAATCCACTGATTTGAAATATGGATTGGATATCTTTATGATTCTTGATGTGTGTGGGCAAATCACAGAGCTGAGACACTCACCGAACATGCTTCAGCAGGGTCCACTGGTAGGTCAACTTCAATGGTCAGAATTGGCCTTTGGGAAACTGATGTGGAAATCTAACATCTCAGGCAGTCAGTTACGATATGTTACGATAATGTTACGATGACGTTCGGCCATGAAAACAATGGTCGCAGCTGCCGTAGCTGTGAGAGCTTTCTTCAGCGCCAACCATTTTTCATGTCATTTCCTAGATCACAGGCCTCATTCTATCCCATTCATTCCCATTCTGCATAGGAATCCTCACAGAGATGTGACATCTAAATGTTGGAACTTACACGAACTTACATTCAGTCCCAGTTTGCCCAGCAAAGTTGTACTCTTTAAACCTCTTTAACTTGGTCTTTCGGCATCTGGAAGGTCTTTCGGCATCCCGGCAACAATTGATCCAATCCAGTCACGTTGATCGATGTTTTGGGGTAAGCCGCGTGAGCGCGGCTTTTAGGGAAGGGTCTAAACTGCTGGGGAGGTTTCTTTGCTGTGCTATGTCTACAGATGTCTACAGAAAGTAGAGAACATACCCAGTGATAACCTACCTTGACTGGCTAGAACACATGCCATTTTGGTAATTGTATAAACAGGTAAATTCCCAGTCCTCATACTTCAATCCAATTGCTTGATGGATTGAACTATGATTGAACCATGTTCAATCCCCATTTTTTGATGCTTGAATTCTGTCAAAGCCAAATTTCATCAAATGGCGAATGTTGCATTCCCAAGTTCTCTGGGTGGCATCTCCGTTTTTCGTGGTAAGATGAAAGATGGTGACTTTTTTTCCTATGCACCGCTTGATTTGTAGGAGATCGTGCGGAAGTCGGGGGACGTGGCTAAGCTGCGGCTGCGAGGCAAGGGTTCTGGCTTCGTTGGGGAAGCCCAGCGTGGGAAGTGGCAACGGGGATTTAATATGGGCAACCCAATGCCATAAAGAACTAGCATTTGGGGATGGTTTATGAAATTGGGTTCGCCACATTATTTATTTCCACATCATTAAGCTTAGTGAATAGCATGTTTCTACAACTGACCACTATTTTCAAGAATAGCATCTATACTAGTGGGGTTTTCAGTGAAGAGTTTTCAGCCTGTGCGAGCAATTGGCTTGCATGGCAGTGTTGCTTGGGGCGTCTTCATGGGACGGCTGCGGACAGTCACGCCCGACAGAGAGAGAGAGAGAGAGAGCGAACGATACATACACACACGCATATATATATATTATATAATTATATAATTATACTTGTTGGTGATGTGGGAATCATGGTTAATAAAGAGTAATAAACAATAAGGGTTAACAAGTGTTGTTTAGTTTAACCATTGGTAAGCCAACAGTTTGCTATGGTGGCCGTGGCCCATTCAGTGGAAAACATGCCATTTGTAGATCATGTTCCTAGGGAAACCAGGCTGGTTTTCCGCATCTAGTTGTGTTAGTTTACCCCAGGGTAATACTGATGGGATACAACTAACAGATACCTGGGAATAATCAAAATAATAGAAATTGTACTCATAATCAAACATGGCCTGCCAGAAAATCTGGATTTCATAGATGATTTGCCTAGCCATAAACATCCATGTGGCAATTGACATGCCAATTGTCACGCTACCGAAGGGGGACACTGGGGATGAAGCCGTGAGAATAACATCGGATGTAATGATGGAGATGTAACTAAATGAACCAGCCATATCCAATCCGCTTTTGTTTGAAAATTGGTGACTCGATGTAATATACTTGGATTGATTCGGATAGATGGTTTTCAATCCACTGACAGGGATATATATATATGCAGCCATTGTATATAGTAGCCATGAACATAGTGATTTTGCAGCAAGCATATTTCAAATTTGACCCAGATGATTAGGACATAACAATACAAAGATATTCATTGATTGGAGTACTTGATCTTCCGTAGAGCTGGCGAATCACTGAAAACGCGCATACTACAATTGATATCAGTTTACGGTTGGGTTCAAGGGATGTTTTGCAGGAAACTGGCGGTTTTTTCCCCGAGATTTCTAGGCTCCTGCCACCTGCTATGTATTTTCTCTTCAACCAGTTTTGGTAATATAGTTTCCATGATCGCTGAGAAATTGACGTTGGGACATCCATTGCAATGAAAGTCACGAGACTGGATCGAATAGTTGAGACTGGATGCCCTCCAGTAAACTGACATAGATATGGAATGCTATGGAAAATTGCATTTTATTCGATGATTTGGCGGTTTGAAATGGAAATATTCCCGAACTATGTGAAATTATCAGATGCTAGCAGCTAGAAGATACACACACACGTATATATACATATATATATGTATGTATATATGATTTTGTATCTGTATATGTATTATATATATGAGGATTTGAACTATGGAATATGGTAATTTTAGGGTAATTTCATGACAATTAGGTATATATTACTATATTAACATGCCTTCGATTCATGGCAATTTCAATATTATTGGAAATTGATGATTGGGGAAACCATGGGAAACCATACTTCCAGCCAAGCCATTCTATCTTGGGGATTTTACCAAACCCCCACAAGAGAACCCTCCCTTATTGTTGAGGAGTCACCTCGAGGGGTGGTTGAATGCCCAGTTCTAAGGTTGTTTCAAAAAGCCATGACGTAGATAGATAGATAGATAGATAGATAGATTGATTGATTGATTGATTTATTTATTGATAGATTGATTTGATAGATTGATTTGATAGATTGATTTGATAGATTGATTTGATAGATAGGTTAGATAGATAGATTAGATAGATAGATTAGGTAGATAGATTAGATAGATAGATTAGATAGATTAGATAGATTAGATAGATTAGATTAGATAGACTAGGTAGATTACATAGATTAGATAGATTCGATAGATTCGATAGATTCGATAGATTAGATAGATTAGATAGACTAGATAGATTAGATAGATTAGAAAGATAGATTCGATAGATTCGATAGATTAGATAGATTAGATAGATTAGATAGACTAGATAGATTAGATAGATTCGATAGATTAGATAGATTAGATAGATTAGATGGGTTAGATAGATTAGATTAGATGAGATGAGATGAGATTAGATTAGATAGATAGATGGATTAGATGGATAGATAGTTAGATAGTTAGATAGATAGTTAGATAGGTAGATAGATAGCTAGATAGATATATAGACAGGTCTGATAGATAGATAGATAGATAGATAGATAGATAGATCGATAGATACATAGATACATAGATTGATAGATTGATAGGCGGACAGATAGATAGTCAGATAGATAGACCATCAACATTTAAAAACCCCATACCCTCAGGCCGAAAGAGATACCGGCGAGGAGTCGAAGGCCCGGGGACCCTTAGGGGACCAACCGATCATGGGAATCCATGCTGAGTGGGTAATGCGAAAAACCCCAAAGCCATGAAGCATCCAGAAATATGGAAATATATGTTTTTTTTACCGGAAATGGGTTGAAATTCCTTTGTTGCGTTGACCGCGTTGTAAGCCGTTGGGTTGATCAATCAGAGTTGCAAGTACCACAATGATCATTGTTTGGTAGCGCCCTTAGCGAAGCAACCGAGGTTTATTAGGGTTGATCTTCTGGCAACGGTCGGCATTTGACAGAAAAGAACCCATGACCAAAAGAGCCGTAATGGGGCCAGAAGTTCGTACTTTGGGGTGTGCGATCAACTAGATTTATTCCTGCCTGAGGATTCATTATCTGCTGGCGCCGCCGTCATAAGTCCTCAATGTGGCGGCATTTTTGTTCAGCCACGTTTATGTGCAACATTTGAATGCCCATCATCCTAATTCTTGCCATGACTCGCGTGTTGCTGGGGTTCTTGACGACTAGGTATATTTATGAGTTTGATGTCGTCATCATCATCACCATCACTAGCACCACCATCACCATCAGTATCTAATATCTAATATCATCTAATATCACTATTGTCAATGACGCACCCCCCAAGGCACGGCCCTAGCTTTGCATTACGGCCTAGGAACCCTTGCAGCTTTGCATCTCGTGCCCGACGCACCGCGGCTACGACATCGCGCGAAAGTGCCTTGCTTGAAGCAGCCGAATCCGCCGGCAGGGGTTTAAACTGGTTGGGTTTAAACTGGTTGTTTCATGCTGAATCATTTTACTTGTAATATCAAAATCTCAAAATGTCATGCAATGTAATCTATTGTATGTGTTGTTCGTTTTTCTTGGGCCTTGGTTTGAGGGCCTATTTGAAACCCTGATTTCCTTAATGGAGATGGCTTGGCACAACGTAGGCACACATGGTGTCTGAAAATTCCTGATTTCCTTAATGGAGATGGCTTGGCACAACGTAGGCACACATGGTGTCTGAAAATTCCCCAAAGATGATGTCCGCGTTTGATACAGACAACTGATAAAGTCGTGCCTCGTTTTTGGGAATCACCAGAATTAGCTTGGGAAACGGTTAACGTAAAAGTCGTGCCTCGACCCTAAAACGCAAGCGAACTCTGACTTCAAAAGTGGCAGAAAGACTTGGCTCCAAGCATGGAGCGCCAACAGGTCCAAACGTTACGCAAAACCGCCAAAGGCGTAGAAAACAAATTTGGGCGTGCTTTTGTGGTTGGGCAAGACTGAATGGTTCAGATCCAGGGCGTTCCATGCTGTTCTGTCATACAGTTAGAAAGCAAAAACCATCAAAGAAACCAGCTTCTTCATCACTAGCGTTCCATTGGTATTTTGATGATTTTTGCGGTTTAAAGTGTAAAGCAGCCACGACTTTCGAGCTAGCGTTCCATTGGGAAATATGCAAAAGGAATGACTTAGGCATGACTTCTTGAAAACGGCGTTTAGATGGGCCGAAGGGCTCCGATCAGAGCTAGGCATGACTTAGGCGTGACTTTGTCGTTTACCTGTATATTGCCATGTTTAGATTTTATGATGTTCATGTTCAATTTAGATGACCTAACTGTGTACCAAACTGAGTACATGCTGTGACCAAACGTTCCTGATGCAAAACATGCCTCTAGGCACGCCTTTCAAAAAGGTCGCCCACCAAATGTTCAACCCCGTTGCTCGAATTTATTTAATCGTTTTTGCCATGAAAAGAAATCATTTCAAGATCGAAAGATGCAGATTTGGCCTTCAGAAATCACGGGCCTGCAACGAATGGCCCTGCTTAAGAAATGTTTGAAAGGCATCCAAATGTCAGACGCCCAACCCGCAGACCAAGATGTGCTGAAGATGAGTTTTTGATAGTTTTTGTATATCCCCATTGGGTCCGGTGAATCAGAATTTGATACCATTAATTGCCATTAATCCACCATTTTCCCTGGTGCGCTTCGCCGCTCGCAGCTTCCAGGTGTGCAGAGGAGTTGCTGCTGGGCGTCTACGACGAGTACGAAGACTATTGCTCGCAGAATGACTTGGACGGGCGACTGGGGCGGCTGTCCACGGATGGGAAGAAGATCTGGTTTTTAAAAGAATTGTTTTGATCACCAAAGTCTGATGTAAATTAATGAAAGTGAATGGGATTTTATTGGATATTTTTTAATTGATATATGACCAAGTATACTTAATGATGTGGGTGTGTTTGAGAATGGGGTATGCCATGGTATGCCCCAAAATCGTCTTGTTGAGAAGGGACAATTGAAAATGACAAACCAATACCTTCCGATGTTAGGCATGGCTGGCTGGGAATCCCCTGGGGAATTTTCCATCACCATGTTTGATTACCGGGGTGCAACAAAAATGTTGCATTTAGGCGTGCGTACTGTAAATGAGTTTGGTAACTAGCAAATTGTGATATCAGTGATAGGCTTTGTTGAGATATGGTGCCATATTTATGGTGCCTATTTGTGGGGGTAAAAAGGGAAGGATTCGTCGACGTGGAAACCAAGAATGCGCAAGTGTATCGCGAGGGTGTGGCATTGGAGACGCAAGATGGGACAGCAACTGCACCAAGGGAACGGGACACTGGCGGGCATTGGATATCAAAATGGTCAGATACGTGGAACGGATTGGAACGGTGGTTTTTGGTAGTTTTAGGCATTTAGCCTTTCTGATTTTGATTTCATAGATTTCCCTCAGCTTTAGTTTCCCATTTGGGATGAAGTTAAAAAAATGGGTTTCATTTGGAGGATCATGTTTCAATTTTGTTTAATTAAATATGTTTTTATTCTAATCACCTTGAAGATTGAAGATGGTTCTTTCAGAATTTCAGCTGCTTCCCCCCCTTCCATTCATCCCATCCCCTCGTCGCAGGAGGTGGAAATGCCGACCATTCGGATGACGGAGAGGTGCGGAGATCGATCGATTCACGTGGCGCCTTCTATCGCAGTAGCCATCAGGGCTCCAAGAAAAAACAAATGTGCCGATCTACGGATATAACATAGCTATGGGAAATGGGCCCATTTATAATCATTTATAGTTGAATTACCCATGCACAATGGTGATGTTCTATAGCTATGTTAGATTACCAGAGGGTAATCATGATATATTATATAACAATGATAAACATGAACTAAGCAAGAAACATCAAGAAACACATGAGACATCTCCCCCAACTTGTCCAACAACTCCGGATTGGGCGGAAAAAAACATCGTCCTGGAGAGATCCCATGATTGCACCAGGTTCCCCGAAGAAAATGGGCATTGAAAATGGTGAAATCATGTGCTCCGGCCAGGTTCACCATAAAAGATAAAAAACGAGTGCCTGTTTAAATATGAATCTGGGATTTTCGAGAACCATAACGGTTGGACATGTCAAAACATTGAGGCACCAAAGTTTCGAAAAAACCGGTGGAAGTCTGCACAGTTCGATGAATCGTGGGATTCCATGGGATTCCCCAGGAATGATGTGAACGTTGGACCTAAAGATCTTAGATGTTCATTGGCAGCTCCAGGGTTGCACCGTTACACCGTTTTGGTAGCTCCGGGTGTTGTAAGAAAATGCAATGGATATTCAAAGACGCTGTATGTTACATTATGTGACTATGGAACATGAAAGCACCATTTTGGTGCCATGAAATTTGGCCACTGGAGGGTAGTACTGAAATAACAAGCACAAGTGTAACCTGAGGAAAAAACGACCAGGATTCGCGCATTAAAGTTGCATAAGTGACAGGTTTTGACAAGAAGCCTATGAAGAAAAGAATAATAGGTCGGTATATGTTGAAGTTTGCCATGTTCTCCAGCTAGGCTGGGGGCGCAACACAGATCCTCAGGGACTGCCTCAGGGTTGCATATATTCGCAATATCTATATATATAGTATATGCATATATGGAGAGGGAGAGAGAGAGAGAGATATATATATATATAAATAAGATGAGCACCATCACCCCGTCTTAGGGGCAGGAACTTTAACTACTGGAGGGCTAGGGTATTGAACATGTCTTTTTTTTCTGTAGGGACATGTTAAAATGAAATGCGGGAAGAAAAAAAACATGACCAGCTCGCCTTTGGCTTGACTCATGATCTCCCTGAGATGGCGATGGAGAGAGGGAGAAATCGCGAAGAACCTCTCTCAGTGTTGTTGATAAATGCCACAGGGGTACATTTGCAAAAAAATAATTTGGGAAAAAAAGAAACATGTTCTGGAGACCAGTGGCGCATGTTTAGATATAGTTTTTCCCACAAATTCCATGTTTATTTTCGTGGATTTTCCATTGCCATGTTTGATTACCAGAGGGTATTGACTCATAACCCAGAGTGCAGCTGGAATTGATCGCTGAAAAAACATCCACGTACTGACCATCGATTTAAAGCATCATTTGCTATCATCGGGGAGTTTCTAAAGTGGTAAATCCATTGGTACTTCTTCCACGTGTTTTTTTCCTCTTTACGAGCGCTCAACAAATGTTGGTTATCATTGGGTCTATCGCATTTCAAAAAGACAACCCAACCGAAACAAATCTGAAACCATCTATATATCGAAACCATCTACAGAAACATGTTGGAATTGAAATCGCATCTGACCTCATGTGTTGGAATCACATCTATCATTGAAACCCACTGAACTCACATCCCATGGAAATCATTGACATATCTAAACAATCCACTGCACTCAACACCCACAGCACTGCAGGCATCTGACTGGGGAAGGTAGCGGCGCTCAAGGCCAACCCTGGTTGAGGGATGGGCCGATGCTGGTGCTGTCAACCAATTGCTGCGAGGTCGTGAACGCCCTAGGTCACCAGGTCACCAAAGATGACATATGCTTATGTCCAGAAATGATCCAGTAATTCAGTGTCCAGATACCAGAATTTCAACTTCAGTATCGACACCCATGTGATCACTTACTGTAGTGACTTAGTATTTCAACCCACAACATGGTGAAAACTTCCCACCAACACCAGCTTGATCAACCGTTCAGGTAGTGGCGGCGCGTCAGCTCCCTCGGGAAAGAGGTGCCGAGTTCGACCTCCTGCTTTGATTTACGATGTCTGGAGAGGTGACGGGAATAGTTGATGGCCACATCGCCACATCAATCGTCCAGTTGTGGCGTCAGCACGTCTCAGGGGAACCCGGCGCAATCAAAGAAAAGCCAAAGCTGCAACGCCAGCGTTGCAAGCCCAGCCGTGATGGGTCCGTGATGTTCCATCCATGATATCCCTGTGGCAGTGTGGTGTTTTTCGTTTCGGATGAAACATGATCAAGCATTTACTATATAACTCATGGAAACAATACTATTCCTGTATTATAGGAATATTGTTGTTCATCATGTTAAACATTAATTTTTGTGCAATATTATTCCAGATGATTCATGATGATTCATGATATTCCCAAGTCTTGGCACATTTGGCACCGTCTAGTCTACATACGTATGCATGATATGCCCCTGCAACAGTTGAACATGATCATTCATGTCCATTTACTGACATTGATGGACCATCCTTTTCCCCAATCTTGGGCTTTCTGATTGCTGTGTTTGTGTTGCTGAGGGAAAGGCGTACCATACTTGCGTGAGGTGATGCACCTCAATATATTGTTTAGATGTGTCCAGCAAAATCCATGTTCATAAACCACCATAAACCACCCATTTGGGAATGGTTTACAATTGCCACCTATGAAAATGACAAAGATTGGCCAAATGTTGGAGTCTGTGGTCGACGCGCTCATCAGTCGCGAGCGTTGAGTCTTTCTTAAAGGTTTGGATTTGACATGGTAACGTTTCTACGCGGTGAAGTTTGGATTAGGCAAACCTTGAGCTGAATCTTGCGGCCAAACCTTTACAAACGTGTCGAAAAAAGCATGATAAAGCATGAAAAAACATGAAAAAACGACATTCACACCGGTGCTGATCTATCCAATCATAACCAGTCGGCAAAGATTTTGAACATATGTTTAAATATCACACAAAACATGAAAATTATATGAAATTATCAGTCACTCTGGACATCTATAGTATAATATATAGACTATAGAGTCCCAAAGATGGTGGAATCTCCCATCAGCATCTCCAAAAAAACGACGGAAAAAACCAAGGCCCAAGGAGGAAGACGTGGACCGCGGCGAGCCCCCGGAAGGGGCTCCAGGTGTTGAGGCCTGATTTTTTTTTTCGCGCTGGGAGCCGACTTTTACCATCCAGAAAAAGGGGTAAAATCCACACAATAATGGTTTAAATGGGTGTGTTATATCTATAACATAATGGCTGTTGGTGATATAATGGTAGACACCAAATTACTTGTCTATCTTGTTTACTGTTACTCTTTCTCTATAATGTAGTATGTCTGTATGTGGATTATCTCGTCTATGTTGTTCATCAATTTTGGGATATTAATCAACATGTTCCAGAGATGTTAATAACTCATGTTAACAGGATTAAGATGGATTAAGTTCTACCAGCATGTCAGTCAATATCATGGTCTTGTAATCATGTCTATACACATTTTGACCATCAAGTTTGGGACATTACAAATTTCAATGTTCCGAATGATCCGAATGGATAATCTTGGCATCAAAAGCCTATTCATATATTTATATAATCATCAAGGTTGGTATAATTCTGATATTCCTTGGGGATATTCAGCATCAAGGACGTGTGGATTTGAAGCATCAACAACCTTTTTTTGACCATCAAACATGCTGTTAGTGTGGTGGACCCAGCAGCCAATCCCATTGGTTTAGGTGTTTGGGCTTTCCATATCCGATGGAATAGCATTGAATGATATTGAATCAAAAGGGTGTGTTTTTCTTGCCATGGTTTTACTGGCTTTGAATACCAGTTAGTTCTGTATTGGCTAAGAAAAGTCATGAAAAGTCCATAAAGTCTGCTGTTTCTCCTTTGTTTTGCAAGGAGAACGACCTGCTGGGTTCGGACCCGTGCCCAGGAGATTGAGCAATTGATCTCCGAACGCAACGCGTGTCGCAAGCGTGGCGAGTACAGCAAGGCGGCGGCCAACTACGCCTTTGGGGGGTGCAGTTGAGGTTACCCCCTGGTAATTTAACGTAACTATGGAAAATGGTCATTTATAGTGAGTTTTCCATAGTTTTCCCATGAAAAATGGTGATTTTCCATAGTTATGTTAGTTTACCAGAGGGTATTTTTATGGAGTTACCTTCGGGTAAACATACCAAAAACTATGGAAAATCACCATGTTTATGCATTTTTAACGGGTATTAATGGGTATAAAGCAACTATTTCGATTGGGCCATTTTCAATAGCTATGTTAAATTACCAGAGGGTAACCACCATCAGTTGGGATATAAGCCCAGTAACAATGGCATATATCTACTTATAAGTGGAATTGTACTTCCAAGTAATGATGTTTGTTGGTTTGTACACATTCATAAACTATATAGTTCGATAAGTCATGATATATCTATCACAAATCCTAGTCAACCTGCTGAACTAAACAGACTTAGTGAACGCACCTTGTACATTTTTGTTCAAACATATTTGAGATGACATGAATGATTCCCCGCTGACTGATATTTTTGTTCGGGGGTTGAAACATGTGAACCTCCCAACGAGATATTTTTGAGCTGGCGACCTGCCTGTTGAGTACATCGGATAACACCACTTAGAATTGTTTTTTCCTTGATGGGTTCCAGCACACTTCCTGATAAGGGAAACTGCATATTTTGCGAGTGCCTTTCCAAGCGATTTTCGACATCATTTCAAGAGGATGGTATGGTTGACCTAGAATTGGGATCGGTTCAATCCTTGTTTTTGTTGTTTAACCCGCATTTGATCAGAGCTTGAATCGCTTGAATCTTCGTGTTTCCATTGCTTCCATTCTTTAAGTTGTCAGGGCGAAGTCCCATTTCGGCGTAATTCCCACCTCGATGGTCAAGAGTTCTTCGATGACCATTCTGGAAGGCATCGTTCACATCAATATAAACTGGGATGCAAAAACCCACCTCCAGAGTTTTGTAGATTAAACTTTAACCGATATTTTCATCCCTGTGCACATTTCCACTCTGAAATGGTGGGACCCATGTTCCACTTCAGAAGCCATTTTTATAAAGAAAGGACCTGGTAAATGTACAGGGGGATGTATGCGTATTTTTTCTAAATTTGAGGGTTTTCACCCCTGCGCTCTCCAATTTTTTGGTACATGATCAACCCCAAATTCTTCACATGTTAGTCCCGAATTTCTTCGAGAAGTCACCCCATGTCACCCCAAAATTCTTCATGATGAATCTACCACAAAAAATTGGATGATTCTATGTATGAACTATTCAATAGGTATCCTATGGTATCCTCATGAAATCACCAAATGATAGCACATACCCCCCACGAACTCCTCTATGAAATCCTCATGGAATCCGTCATGTTTTTCCATGATTAACGTCATCAAAAACAGGTGATTCAATTGATCGTATAGCAGGTATCCCCAGAAAAAAACCCAAACCCCAAAATTGGATTAGTCCAAAAATGTGAACGTTTCAATCATCATGGTTGAATTTTCTTAGTGATGATAGTCCATGAAGTCCTAATATGTTCAAACGATTGTGATCCTCAAATAAATATTCCCATGTGTGATTCCCATTTGATTATCAATTACAGTATATAATTCCCGTTTTTCGATTGATGTGTAGATATCAATGATCAATGTATACCATCATACACATCCAACGAATCATAGGTGGTGAATACCCCTGGTGATCGTCAGTCCCCTCAGTAGGTGATTTCCATCTATAACTGGATTATAAGTCCATTTAGCTAACCACTTTACTAAATGGGATCATTTTCTTTAAGTAATATTAACCCATCATCCAATCTCTGGTAGATCGCTGTTGAAAATACCTGGTACTCTTAATCCATATCTCACCGTTATCATTACATCATGTTACATCCTGATAATCGTAAGTCCGATAAAGTATACGCTTATTCTATTGATCTTCCATCAAAAAAGTGGCCATGGCACAACTATGGCTATTCAAAAGCCGTTATCGTTCCATAGTTTTTGAACCACACAGTTTATGTGGCTAAAAAACTATGGCAATTCTTTCACCTATGTAACTATGTACGTTTAGATTCAAAAAACAACTATGGCTATTCTTTCAGTTCTGGCTATATCAAAATCTATGGACTATATATATAATATATATATGATATCTATATGGCTACATAACAATCTATGGCCCATTTCACGGCGAAAGAACAACATCACCGTCCCGTGACGCGCCGTTCATCGGAGCGATGTGCCAGGCCGATGAGATCCGGGACGATTTGAAGGACAAGGGCGTGGTGCTCAGTGACGAGAAGGGCGCGCATGGCGATGGCCTCACTGTCACCTCCTGGAGGCGTTTTAGCGAGCTGAGCCAGTGATGGTGAGGTTTTTTCTGTAGCTGGTGAGTTTATATCTGCCTATAGATGATATATGTCTATATGTTTAAGGTTTATATAGATGGTTTATAATTAGATAGATATAAGATGTGGATTTTTTATAATTAGACGATGATATAGGTATTTGCTGTAGATATTTGTATAGCTGATATAAAAATCTATGTAGTATTAGATATATGTGAAATCAAGATGAGCTCCCAAAGTCTCACTCGCACCTCGGTATGTCGTTTTTCCACCTGCCAAGTTGTCGCGGCCTGGGGTAGCTCAAGGGCCCTTGAAGGAAAATGTAGCGGCAAACACATTGCCATTGAAAATGGTTCTACAAAACTGCATGGATGTTAACTCCAAATGCACATCGGTGGTAGAGTGGTGAAAAACTAGGCAACCGGTTGACTCGGCGCCCTTGTAAGGGTGACGAATTTGAAATTGTCATTTTTGAGGGTAAGAGAGAAAATGCTGGTATTTGCAGGAGTCGTCAAAAAATGTGTACAACATGGACATTCATTTCGATTGGCAGGCATGTGACTCAAGAGTGAAAATTTGAATTTCGCCTGCGCGGTGACTCGATTTTTCTCTTCAAGGGTGAAAAAAAAAACATTAGAATTTTATGATTTTGAGTCATCCAAATCACATCAATCAAGGCGGTATTCAATCCTCTTTTTTTTCCACTGTTCAAGGTTAGCGGTGCCAGAGCGCTTGTGGCAGCGCTGATGCTACAGTCTGTAACAAGGCAGCGTTGTGACGCCAAGTCCAGCTGTAAGCATAACTGTACCGTTTTTGGTACACCTGTTGTTTCTTTTTGTGGAGCATGGATTGAGGTCGCCATTTTTTTAAGTGTTTCCAAGTTCCATCAAGTTGTTGAGTTCCAGCAATAATGGTTCTAGATGATTTACCCCACAAACGACCCCGAAAATGATAAGTCTTAGTGAAGATATTCTGTTTGTGGTTGACCTGGGCTACCTTGAACCTTTTTTGGGGATAGTAACGTGATGGAAGCGCTCGACACGAACGTTAACATCCCCCCCCCACCCCCCCCACCCCCCCTGACGATCATACGACAACATATGCAACATATGCCTCTTCCATGTGCAACACGTTAAAAAATCGAAAATTTCAAATCCTATACCCCCATTTCGGAAAACCTCATTTTTGAAATTTGCAACCCTTCCACGGGATCGTAAATGGCACATCTCAAAATCGACAACCTTTCCAAGGGCGCCATATCAGCCGCATGCCAAAAACTACCAGGATCGTCACCACAGCAAAACGTGGTCTCTACAATCACACTCGATCCTGAAAAGCGCTCAAATGTTTGAACGCACCGTGCACCCCCTCTCTCACATACATCCATCCAGGTCTGTGTCCCTGACGGTCAAACGTCAATGGTGTCTGAATGATTTTGTCTACGATCATGCCCTCATCAAACATTCTCTCCATTCGCTTCTTCCACTCATCTCGCATTGGCGCTTTCACACCTGAGACAGCTGGCACTGGCTTGCTCACTCCTTCTCCTTTCTTCACAACTTGGAATGCCAAACAATCCAAGCATGTCCATTTCCACTGCACTCCATTCGTCCCTTGCCAGTTGACGCGCAAGTGCTTGCACTGAATTGCATCTGGACCATCGGTTGCCGGCACTGACTTGGGTGAATGGTCAGTGTCGCTGCTGCCTACGCTCGCGTCACAACGCAAGGGCTCAGCCTCTGCCGATCCAGTTCCAGCATCGCGCACACGCACCGCCGCGCCATGGCTTCGTGATGCGTAGATCTCTTCAAAAACCTGATCATTCACAAGAGTTGGCTCATTCTGAAAAGCGATGTCATTCCGTGAAAACGCAAAGAACTTTGACAAGAGTGCACTGAAATACGCAAGAACATCCTTAATCTTGATGACGACCCCAAAAGCACCAATAAACGCAAAAATGATGATCACAGCAAACGTCATGGTGAATGTCCAAAACTGCTCATCCTCTTTCTCTGTGATTGCTGCCTCAGCGCTAGTCACTGACTCTGCTGCGATGATCGCAACTGCATGCATTGCTGCCTTTTTCCACGGGTCACCACAGCTTTGTTTTCTGTGCAAATTCAAATAATAATGTCTCCTGCTGCAAAACTGGTTCTTTCCTTCTGTCAAATCAATTTTCTTTTCGCATCCCTTCAAAGCACACTTTCCACGCTCGCTTTTCTCATCCTCAACTGCAAAAACATGGCCCTCAAACATTTCTTTTGCTAACTTTTCCATCTCTGCATGCTGTCTTTCTTTCACATCTTTTCCAACCTTCTTGTCTGCAACGAAACTTTCATCGTACACCAAGCGGTGCACCCCACGCTGCAGAAGGTAGGCAAACTGCTCTCTTGCCTGCCTCTTGGTCAATCCGTCAGCTAATTGCTGTCCACTGTTCACCCATTTCATCTTGGACATCATGGCTTGCAGACGATCTCTGATGATGCTGATTTCGATCGATGTGCGTCGATCGCTCGCCTTGTTCTGAGTGAGACTGTTCACCGAGTCAAACAAGGCCTTTGCGTCAGTCAGCACCGGTGATTCACCTGTGCTTTGCAACACCGAATCATCTTCGTAGGAGATGGTCGGCCAAAGCATCAATGACCAACAAATTCTCAACCACTCCAAGGCATCAACTGCCACGGATGCTGACTGTGCTTCCGCGGCCAATGACGACCGACAGACGCGTGCAAGCTTCCGAGACGACCAATCCAAAACTGAGAGCTTCATGGCTCGGCCTTCGTTGATCTCCTCCTTGGACGCAATGAAAATGATGTATCCTCCTTGGCTCGTGTCATCAGGGCGGACGGCCCACGCTGCGTCCGCATAGACACCAAAGCGAAGTGACTCCAGGCTTCCATGGTTGTGGATTTGGAGCTTGTAGTCCTTCCCCACATCTTTCATGAATCTCAAACCTTTGTTTTCTTCACTCAAGTCCGACACTGTGGGGTTTGCCACAGATGCTTGAAGGAGGCTGCACGTCGCTGAGGTCTGGGGCAAGCACTGGTTGGCGGGCCACGCCATCGCACCTACGATTGCTCGTAGCTGCCTCTGCGCATTGGCTGTGCATGGGTCACCAGACATGGTTTTCCGGTTCTTGTCGATGGTCAGCGGCTTGACCTTGCGCACATATTCTGCCACGGAAATCTGCACTGTCTCATAGTCCAAGCTCTGTTCCACTTCAGCGCCACAAAATTCCATGGTGTTCCCAAATGACCATGATCCAAACCTGAACCTCCCCGACAAACCACAAAGCCTGTCTCTGAAGGAAAGAAAATCACCATTGTACTCACCTTCCAAGTCTTGCGCCCCAACGACACCTTCGCCAGTGCCGATGAAATCGTCCACATGCATGCCAAGAACTCCATCAACCACCATGCGTTGGCCTTCATGCATGAAGACGCGGAAGTCATCGTCCTCCGCCACAGCCATGCGAGTGCTCACATAGACGCACTTGTCTAGTGCGTGTCGCAGCATCCTCAAATCTTCAGTCACCACACCATCTGCCGTAGTGTACCACTGCCTTGGTGCACGCACGTCTCCGAATGCGGGCTTCGTTGCTTTCAAAATCTGCCATGGTTTCAAATCCATGAGCCTTTCTAACCTTCTCCTCATATCACTTGTTGGCTTCACATAGATGCGCGTTGTTTCATCTATGCTGTCTGCCTGCATGAATGCACTTTTCACATCCGCGCTGAACAATTTCCAGCGCATGTGCGCTGCCAAGACGTAGATCAACATCCTGCTCTGTCGCGCAAGCGTTGGAGAGTCTGTCTCCAACTTCTGCTCCAAAACATCTCGATGCTTGAAGCCTTGGATGATCACTCTCGCATTTGCCTTTTCGCCTTCCTCAGTCTTCTTCCATCTTTGCAAAAACCTGGCTGGAACAACTTCACCTTCTCTGGCCTCGCTCTCTTCAACTGCCTTCCAAGCTGAGTTCTCAATCCAAACCATCAATGCCTTGTCCTTTGCTTCATCAAACATCCTTCTCTGCTCCTCCGTCAGCCTCTTCTCATCAAACTCCTCAGCCAACATCTCCTCATCTTCAAGGCCCTCTGACCACTGGTTCCCTTTTCTGAGTTGCTCCTCTGTCGCCTTTGACTTTCTCGGCAAACCATCCAAGACTCTGGCGGCCTCATGCGACCGACCTTCTGATGATGTCGATCGGCACGGGGCTCCGTGATCTGTCCCTACGTCTTTCACTTGTTTCTTCTTTCGACTGCACCTGCTGGGGCAGCCCTTCCTCATTGGCGGCCTGATCTCGCTCAGCCGCTTTCACATCCTCTTGTTGTGCCTCTTGCAACTGTGTCTCTGTCTCTGCTTTCAGCGCCGACTTCTTCACTTCATTCTGCTCTTGTCGCTCCTCACTCTTTTGCTGTTGTTTCTGCATGAGTGATTCTTTCTTCTTACGCTTTGAGGGTTGGGCAGCTTGATCACCCGGCCTCTCCGGGGAGGCCACAGATCCCGCCCCCGTGGGGACCACGTCCACACCACGGAGATGGGCAGTGTCCTCATCAGGTCTCTCCTCCAGACCCAAGACGCCAGCAGATCCCACACCTCTTGCGTTAGAATTGAGTGGACCGGGCCCCAAGTCTAAAAATCGAATGGGACCTCGCACTGGTTGAAGAGCCTGAGTGAGTTGCCGATGTAAGGGCAATCTGGTGGCTATTTGCGGCATAGTTTCCAGACGGGCAGCGCGCTCACTGCTCACCTCCAATCTGACATGTTCTGGGGCAGACCGCACCAAAGAAGCTCCATGGGCAAGCCAATAGACAGTGGGTCGGGGTGACCCCTCGGCTGTCTCACGACTTTCAATGGCGCAAATCAGTGCAGGTCCACGCCATCGGGAGTGCTCCAACTTGTCATTGCCAGTGCGCCAGTAATAGGCATAGTCCCCAACTTCCAGGACTTCATGCTCGGCACGACTACGCGCCAGAAGGGCGCGTCGCACTTTTGTGCTGTTGTTGGCTGCATAGAAGGCCTTGGCAGCCAGGATTCTGACTTCGTTGTCCTCCATCTGACGCGGAGGTCCGTCTGGACGAACACCATGCGGCTCATCTGAGATGCCGGACTGATTGGGCCTGTGCCCAAACACCAAAGCTGAAGGGGAAGCACCATGGACTGTTCTCAAGCGATTCCTTTGCTCGCATGCATGAAGGACTGCATCCTCAATGGTGAGGTCTGTCTTTTCATCTTTCATTTTTATCAACTGCTGTCGTCGGACGGCATGCAGTCGCTCAACGAGGCCTAGCTGATGGTGAGCCTCCTTTGGAATGAGCATCAAACGGATGCCCCGCTCATCACACCAACTTTGAAAGAACTCGGACATGTGAGCGCCTGAGGAATCTGCCTTGATGACCTTTGGTCTGCCAGCCCAAGCAATCCACTGCTTCTTCAAAATGTCAATCTCTTCCTCCATGGACTCGCTTTGGATGATGGCATTGGTCTCAAAGTGAGAGTAAGTGTCAATGATGGCCAAAACTTTGTGTTTGACATCACCCCACCTGATGTGGAAGGTGTCCATCTCAATAACCTCATTGAAGTAGGACGACTGCTTCAAAGCTGCTGGTTTCTCCAACGGCTTTGTCTTGTGTGACTCGCAAATGTCACACTTGTATGCCTTGGCCTGTTGCGCAACCGCCTCATCAAGCTTGGCGTCTTTCAACGCCCTGACCAACTTCTCATTGTTTGGATGGCCAAGCTGTCTGTGCAACTTGGGAACAATCCTTTTGGCTGTGGTCGTGTTGACCTTGGCATTCTTCCAGTCCTCCTCCTTCACTGCATCGCTCTCCTGCATTGCTGCTTCCACATCCATCTCTTCAGCCACCATGATTTCTACAATCTGTCTCTTTCTCCACATGTTCTCCATCTCAGCATAGATCTCTGGTGCTGCCACAGCGACAAAACCAGCCTCGTAGTTCTGCATCTGTTTCAAGGCAGCTGATTTCCCAATCATTTGGACATGTGGCTCTATGCACCGGCACTCGATGCACATTGCCTCTGCAAGCCTCAGCGAATTGGTTCTGATTCTGGTTCTCTTTCTGACTTTGCCCACAACTCTTCCGTTGTGAACGTAAACCAAACCAGTCTGGCACCTATGGACTACTGCTTCATAGTATCCCTTCATGGCTTCCATGGTCTGCGTCTTCCAAGATTCCGCAGGGTCTGGATGCTCCATCGCTGCTGCGGCATCGATTGCCTTGCATTCCTCAAAACCATATGAAACCATCTCCAAATGACTCTTCTCTTCTGCATGTCGCTGCGCCCCCCCCCCCCCCCCCCCCCCCCCCCCCCCCCCCCCACCCCCCCCCCCCCCCCCCCCCCCCCCCCCCCCCCCCCCCCCCCCCCGCCCCCCCCCCCCCCCCCCCCCCCCCCCCCCCCCCCCCCCCGCCCCCCCCCCCCCCCCCACCCCCCCCCCCTTTTGTTTTTTTTTGTTTTGTTGTTTTTTTTTGTTTTTTTTTTCCCACAGCCGCCCCCCCGGAGGCGAGCGCCCCGGCCCCCTTCTTTTCCCTTTGCATCCTCCTCGCACTTCACGTTAATTCTCTGCATTGGGCTCCATTTTGTGCAAGGTGGAGCGTACCATATGAAATGTGGCTTCTCTTCAATGATGAGCTGATTGAACCTCAACCGTACATCCTCACGGCTGAAGTCCCACTCTGGCAAACTGAAAGTGGAGACTGTCACATCAGGGTATTTTCTGGCGATATGTGATGCCAGGCTTCCCTGATCCACATAAACTTCCCAAAATTTCAGCTCACGGCCTTTCAATGCTGCATTGACAGCCTTGTCGATGATGCTCATGACCTCTGCATCGACAATCTCCAGTTCGCCTGGATGATCCTCTTCATCCACCAGCCCCACTTCTTTCTCCATGACTGGCTCGATCATCCATGCGGGGTTTCGCTCATCATCCCAAAACTTTGTGCCTTCCTCAGAGACGCAATGCACCCAATTCTCGTCATCTTCCTCCTTGTAGTCGAACAAGTTCAGCATGTAGTGACCTTTGTGACCTCGTTCTGGCTGGAACCATTTTGACCCTGCCACACTCACTTCTCCTGTGCCAAAGTTCTGCTTCATGCCCAGCTCTTCCAAGGTCGGTCTTGCCAACAAAAAGGGTGTTCGACCTGCAATGATCGAAGCTCTGATCCT